AACCGCTTGAGCTATGGCGCGGCCTACGCAGCGGTTACTGCGAGCTGTTTCTGCAAGGATAAAGAGGCCGGGCCGTGAGTCTCGTGATGATATTAAGAATGGTGGACTTATACCTCTGCTCCCCCATACGTCGTCAGGCCGCAGTACTTAATTACTTAAGCACAGCGAAAGCTTGAACTTATGCACCAATAGAGGCTGTGATTTTTTAAATGTTAGGAACGAAAAGATGTAAAAATGCCCTATACTGTATCTGAAATATCTTTCAAGTTGTGTCATCATCAGACAGTGACGTAAATGTTTACATCATCGTCAGAAAGTTACTAGATCTTATTTTTAAGGTGAGATAGGGACCAAACTCGCCATACTGGAGACGTCGGTAAACACGCACAGGACTTCTCTTCCGTCAAGTTGCCTACTGAAAGCGTGACGTACGCTCAAAGAGCTTTCAGAGCGACAACAGCTTCTTCACGCATGTCTTCTGCTGCCTACTTCAGGGCGAAATAGCGAACCGCGACGGCAGAGAGGTCAGTATTACAGGGAAGGAAAAGGCTAGCCCTAAGAGTAAAACAACGGGAGAGGCGTACAGGTGGAGGCAGTAAACGGTAGTAAGTACAGAGCTACTGAGCTACACGCCGTGTCATCCCATAAGACGATAATGTTCGTAGACACTGCCTTAAGAACCCTGAAGAAAACAGTTCTAGTGAGCACAGAGAATGTTTCCCCCAAAAGGCTTCGGCAAGATTCCTGAACAGATTTGCAACTATTAGCTTCTCAAGGAGGACCCCCGCTCCTTGGAGTTACTTAGCTTTCCACAAAATCGGTGTTTTATGCTCCTCAATTGCGAAAACAATACGGACGAAGTAAGTATGTGCCCACACTTTTCATAAACCACGACAGTACACACCAGCATAACACTTACCAGACTGTACAAAAGAAAATCAATATAGTATTCTCTATTAATTTCACTGCTTACGTCACATTTCAGGAGGGAAATTAGATTCTTGTCTTGCATTTAATGCGACTTTGCGGAAATTAACGCAGGCCCCTGCAATACCGACCTTCTTCTTAAGTTGCAGCAAGCCAGGACCCGCGATATTGATTCAATCGACTTCCCATCTACGATTCGGGGTAGAGCGGCGCCCGACCGCCTGACGGCACACCAGAATCCAGCGTCCCGTAATTGCAAGAACACGTCGTGACACATGTGCATGGCAATGCAGCCCGCGAGGTGGGGGGGG